GGGGGGGGGGGTGTTTAGTATGTTTTATTATTGGTAATAAAAGGATGTTTTTATTGTTTTATCATTCTAGCCGCCGTATACTGAGCAATGACGGTTTGGTTGGGATGTTTGCTGGGATGAAGCGATTGTTAAGGGTGTAACACAATATATTCCATGGGAAATAAATTGTAACAATCCACCTTCACACTCAGCGTAAACATTGTCTCAGTTTTCTTGGACGCCGCGAGGGAAAAACTGTACAAAGATCATTGTAATGTGCCGGACGGGTGGCGGTCCTCTGATCACCGGCACAATGTTATGATCAACCAGATGGTGTAACAATTCCCTGACCGTTTATCTTGGGGGAATTTTGTGGCGTTGTAACTAAGAATCTGATTTCTGAGGGACAATTGTTGTCAAATATCATCAATTATCCGAGTTGTTTTTTGTTCTTTTTTTACTTCTCAATGATTTAATAAAGTTTTTTTTATTGATTATTTATGTGACGGGAAGTAATATTTCAGTACTGACGGGTGTGTGTGTTCCCTTCTGCAGGAAAAGTGCCATCAGTACTGGCCGGCCGAGCGCTCAGCCAGGTATCAGTATTTCGTGGTGGACCCGATGGCGGAATATAACATGCCTCAGTACATCCTGCGCGAATTCAAAGTGACGGACGCACGGGTGAGTAGGAGAGCTCATTGCGGACTTCCGTCTCCAGCTCTATATCCTCTCCTCTGTGCCACTTGCCATGGCATCTTCTGGTGTGAGCTACAAGCCCCCCCATCATGTTTGGACTACAGCACCCATGACATGCTGGGACTAGCAATTCTTTAACTGCTGGAGGGAAAGCAGCGCTCCAAATTTACACACACACAAAAAACAACTTTAAAAACACCACGCTATCTCCCCTGTGCTTCCTCAATAGACCAAATGACAGCTGCAGTGACTAAATCAGAGGACCCAAACCCACTGAAATCATCTGAAAGTGTCTTTTAGTTAATCAGTGCTCCAAATGTGACCATGTGATTACCGACCACCTATGTCATTGGACTACTTAAAGGAGAACTATGGGGTCAGTTTTTTTTCCCCATAGTTCTCCTTAGGGTAACGGGAGGACACAAACTAGCGTCCTCCCGTTACCCTAAGCTCAGTATACCGCGAGCTACAGCTCCCTATATACTGAGACGCCGCAGCGGATCCCGACCTGGACGTCGTGATCCGCCCAGCTGCGTGAGTGACACCTGGCTCTGCCTATCTAGAGGCAGAGCCAGCTGTACCCGCCCCCTCCCCCGTCCGTTCCGCCAGTCAGCGCTGCCAGGTCGGAGCGGGAAGGGGGGAATCCAGCCCCTCCCCCTGTCACGGTAGAGAGCCTTGACAGGATCGAGAGGTGAGCGAGCGCCGGTATGTGTTCGCTCACCTCCCGATCTACTGAGCCGACTTGTGACAGTCTCATTGTCACAGGTCGGCTAGAACTATGAGGTGAGTGGAAATCACTCCCACCTCATAGTTCTCCTTTTAACGTGCATCTGAATCCAAAAAACGAAAATGTTATATGTTGCAGCTTAGCAGTCCTTAGGTGGCTGCAGTCGTTTTCTATTATAAATATATTGTCACCTAATGATCCTACCAATGAATCCAGGGGGTGGGCACCTCCTGCTGTTGTGAAACTACAAGTCCCACGAGGCACTGCAAGACTGACAGTTACAGGCGTGACTCCCAGAGGCAGATGCATGTTGGGAGTTAAACTCTTCCTGTCTTAAGGTGCCCACACACCTGCCGATTATCGTAGGATAATCGCGGGCAATCCCGCGGTCGTAGGATAATCGGCAGGTGTGTGGAAGGCGTGCGACCGTTTCTACTGTACGGTCGCGCGTCTTTTGTCTTACGAGCATGTTTGAAAACCAGCCGAGAATCGTAAGATTTTCGGCTGGTTTGTGGCATGCTCGTAAGACAAATGCCGCAAGGGCACACTGCCCGTTCAGCATTGCAGTCACCGGAAGCCTGCCCCTCGGGGGGGGCGCAGCTTGCGATTATCGCAAGTATGATCTGCCTGTCCAAGATGGGCAGAACGTACGTTTTTTTTTAATTACCTTACAACCATCGCCAGACAAAAGTCTTGCGATGGTTGTAAGGTGTATGGCCAGCTTTAGGGAGGCAATGCATGCTCACCATACTGTGTCCATGAAGGAACAGCTTTGCCACCATAAGACAGGAGTACTATAGTCCTCCCCCCTCTCCTCTATAACATAGGGGGGAGGTGTCCTGTATTCCATAAAGAACTAGGAAGGGCTGAGAACCTTATGCATTAATATAGAAGGTTTAAAAAAAATGCTTTCAATGTTATGTTTAACAAACCAAAAGGGAGCAAATGAAAGAAGTTCACTGTTGGGGAATTCATTCACTTTAATAATAACATACAAAGTGCAGCGGTGGATTATGTGTACCATGGGCCCTGGGGCTGGTTTTAAATCATGCCCCCCCCCTATTTAATGGGATCATGCAGAAGGGTCAGTGAACGCAGATTTATGAAACATTCCCTGCAGGATGTGGAACGCAATGTATGAATTTCTTGAACTGGATTTTTATACATTGGGACAATGTTTGCAGCGGAGTCGTTTCTAGAAGCAGATATTATGGAAACTATATTTCCAGATATGTTTTGGATGCGATTATTTGATCACCATAAAATAAATCAATGCAAAGGCTGCTCATCTCCTGCTAGAAAGAAGAAAAAAAAAAAACTTTTTTTTAGTATCCCTATGGGCCCCCCTGGAGTCTGGGGCCTGGCAGAGCCGACCGTTCTGCCCTTATTCTGATCCTCCGCTGGTAAAGCCTGATACTCGCTGGTAAAGCCTGATACTCACTGTAACCAATCAGAGAGAATCTGACCTCAGCGATTCTGACTGGCGTTGTCACCGACTATGGACCGATCTTTTTAGATAAACCGCTTTGGTCTTCCCAGATCTGACAGTCTCTTTGCTCCGCAGGACGGACAGTCTCGGACAATCAGACAGTTCCAGTTCACAGATTGGCCTGAGCAGGGAGTGCCAAAAACGGGAGAGGGCTTCATCGACTTCATCGGACAAGTGCACAAAACGAAAGAACAGTTCGGACAAGACGGACCCATCACTGTTCACTGCAGGTGAGGAGCGCGGCCCGGGTCTGCTGAACGTACCCAATGTTATCTCATAAGAATGTCCAGAAACAATAGACAAGTAGATTATCAACAGAGCCTTCCGTCTCATCCTGTGGGACAATGGGGGGCAGAACTATGCATCATGGGCCCCCATGGAAAATTATGAATCCCCCACCCCCCCCACTAACCCTTTGTCAAAAAAGTGGGTAATT